GGGGGGGGGGGAGAAAAAGCAGAAAAAGTGTTTGCATTTGTTCTCAAACTTTTACAAAGACATTTTTTGTTGGTGCTGAATTTATTTTAAGTCATTGGATGAGAATTTAAAATGTCTTATTAAACTTGTGTAAAAAAAGAGTCTTATTAAAATTCTTTATGGATTAATTTATACTCCAAGTGAATTGACATAATTTTTGAGTTTTTCTATTTAAATTCCACACTTTTCTTTATTCATCCCAATACTTAAATCATTAAGTTCTTAAGTTTTATTATTGTGTAAAAAGACAAAAAAAGGTCATCTAATTTAATACTTAACCCTAGTACATTTATACAAACACCCCACCATTCTTTATATTAAGTTTTAGAAAAATACAAACTCCTATACACCCTATTGCCATATTACTATTCTTTTTCAATCAAAGAAACCTATTACACTCTCATCTTCTCTTCACAAACCCTAAATATGGTATACAAATAGTGGCTTGTGGCTCGTCAATTAAGTTTGACAACAATGTTTTTATCTCTTTAAGTAATGCGAGGTTGAGGTGAGTGGTGAGGGGCAAGATAGCGGGGTGTGGGGTGCGAAGTTGATGAGTTTTTTATTTTTTTATTTTCTATTGGGTGCGTACTTTAGAGGTAGTTTAGGAAGATAGTGGGGTTTTCTTAGAAATTGTGAAAATTTGAATTAGAAGTTGGGGTGAACTTAAAATATGGGGTGAATCAAGAGAAATGTGGGTTTAAATATAAAAACTCTAATATTTTTAGTTAAAAAGAGAAATGAGAAATAGAGATGAAGAAGTTCATTCTCTTCTTTCTTCCTTCTTTTCTTAATGTCCTCGTTGTTTCTTTCTGCTTTAAACTGTAAACCTACTAAAGTTTTTATCTTTCTTAATTTTATAAAGTGGGAAAAGTTGAATTTAGCTAACATTATGTTTATGAAAATTACAAAAAAGAAAAAGAAAAAAAAATCTGTTACAGTATGAGCCAGGTTAAAAGAAGTGGACATGGAAAGGGCATTTTGGTCTGGGCATTTGGGAAAAACCTGTAAGAAAATGATTAGTTTTCAGACCTTGTAGGTTTCCATCTGTGTGTGCTTGTGGCTGGTTTTTGAGGTATGATTCGTATGAACAAACAAAATAAAAGCAGTGAGAAAGAGAGTGACAGAAAGTTGTGGGAAAGAAAGAAAGGCAAAAACAGAGGAGAAAGGGGAAAGCCCATATTCTTTTGGGTTTAGTCCCATACCAGGTTGGTACAAAAAAAGCTTAAACCTCACTTTTTCTTTTTCACTGGCAATATTCAGTTTATATATTTTTCTTAGATCCTTTTGTGAACATTTCAACTTCTGTTTTTGTTTAATGGGTATCTGTCACTCATCAGCCATTTATATAAAATGCCATTTTGATTTTCTTTTGGAGAAAAAAAAATGGAACTTTCTTTCTTCTTCCAGGAAGAAATGTGATTTGTGGTTGTATTCTTGGGTTGCTGTAGTTGAAGTGCTTTACTTTGCCCGCTGGCCACTAGCAAAGATTCTCTCTTTCAATCTTTGTGAGCTTTGCAATCTCAAAGTCTTCGATAGTTCATTTTCTGCATTGATGTGCTTTCATCTAATGTCACTTATTTGCTCATAAAGCCTACTAGCTTTTCCTGCCCCTTCGTTACTTGGGTGCCTTTCCCTTTCTGATATATATTTTTTAGGAGCAGTGTATAACCGGTGTAAGGAGTGACTTATACAGATTCATGGGTTTTATTACATATTCACCCCCCTATATGGGTATAAATAGATATGGCCAATATTGGTTTTCCTCATTGCAGGAAGTCACCTTAGGTGTGTGCATATCGTATATTTTCGGTTGGAAGGGATGAGCTACAATACCTCCAATACTGGTTCTGGTTAGTCATTTTCCTGTGCTGGTGTCTATATTATTTGTATATGGAGTAAAGTTATTTGTAAAGACTACTTATTGTTGGTTCTTGCCCATATCTTGATCATTAGGCCTGCTGGTTTTATGTTTTAAAAGTTTTTGCTTCAATATGTCAGGTAGTAGAACTCCTAGAAGGACGTTTGAGTTTGGAAGGACCCATGTGGTCAGGCCCAAAGGGAACCACCAAGCGACTATAGTTTGGCTACATGGCCTTGGAGATAAGGGCTCAAGGTATTAATGCTATTCTTTTGCAGACAATAAAAATGTGCTATTGTGATTTAAGAATGGGTGCTTGTGATAATTTGTCTCTGTTTTTAGGTGAAACTTGTTCCCGTTAAACCAATTCATCAGTGGAATTGAAATTCCTATGCATGATTAACTTGTAGCTTTCCATTTCAGATTTATACATGCAATACAGCTGTTATGTTTTACTCAGCAGGGTTTGTGGACGTGCATGGATCAGTAGTTGTGATTTTAAGAATGTGGAGTTTTATAATCACCTACTTGAACCTGATATTCTCTCTTTATATGAAACATGGTGTGGGTTGATTGATTCCTTTCCCTTTTAAATGAGCATATGCCTGAAGAGCATGGTGGACTTGTTTGTTTCCACATAAAAGACAAAAGAAGGGGAATTGGAGAATGTCAATGTCTTTCTCCTGATCTAGCAAAGTCTGTTATTTAACTAAGTCCTTGATTCTGTTGCATTTTAGAAGATTCTATTTCTGATCGAATTGATGGGGGACCGCAATACTTCCATGAACCAAAAGACAATGTGATCGGTTGTCTTTTCCTTCCTCTTCTTTACATTCAAATTGATGTTGGGGAGGTCATGAATCAAGTATTTGAATATTCCGAGGCCTACGATAGGGGACCACTTCTTCACTAGCTTAGTTGCCCTTTCAAGTGTATCAAATTGAAATATACTATTCATTAATAATTTATATAGTACAGATGCAGGACTAATTAATCATCATTATTCCTTTAGTGAAAGATGATTGAACCGTTTTGAGCTAAAACAGATATATCCAAATAGCATCAAACTTGTACAATTATCGATTAGGTTTATGCTTAACCTTGATTATATGTGCTCCCCAAATTAGATTTGATATGCTACTAAGAAGTGTTTCTTAAATGATACTGTAATTATTTTCAAGCTTGAAGTGTGCTACCAACCTTCTAGCCATTGGACTCAAAGTATTGTGTTATTAGTTTGGTTAATCATTAGTGACTAAGCTGCATTATTTCCATTTTGTGCTTTGTTTTGCAGCTGGTCCCAGCTTTTGGAAACCCTTCCTCTTCCAAATGTAAGGGTGACTTTAAGTTTCATTTTGTCATTATGCACATGCATATTCAACATTCATCACCAGCAGCCTTAAACCTTCTATTTAGAGAATATGCTACTAAGTTTGTTTAATCGTATTCATTGTCTGTTTCTGTTTATATTATTATACAGATTAAGTGGATTTGTCCTACTGCCCCTTCTCGTCCTGTAGCATTATTTGGTGGATTTCCTTGCACTGCCTGTAAGATTTATTGCTATATTTTCTGTATTTATCTTCGTGCTGAAATCCATCATGAAATTCTAGATTATCTGTGAGCTTTATCACATGGACATTGATTGCCTAAAGATACATGTCATCCAGTAACTAGGGTAAAAGTTTGGTTTATATTTCTTTTCATATTGTATATGTAAAACATAATCTAAAGTGTTTGAGTGATTTATTACAGGGTTTGACATGGGGGACATTTCAGAAGATGCTCCTGATGATATGGAGGGGTTAGATGCCTCAGCAGCGCATGTTGCAAATCTTTTGTCAACAGAGCCTGCTGATAGTAAGTTCCTTTTCTTGAAAGCTCTTAAAACTCTAGTATCTTAGTTATATTTGTTAGAAACATTTCCAGTTAAAGGATTTATAAATAAGATATTGGGGCATTGATATATCTTGGTAGAGATAGAAAAGAAAATATAAAGAGGTCTGGGATTGTAGACCTGTACTCAGGTTTCAAACTATTTTTACCTTGTTAGAATGAAGATATAGAATGACATAGTCAAATTTCTCTGCAGATTCCATCTTCCCCTGATCCTCCACTGAACTATAGTGAACTTATTTAATCTTGTTCATACAGCTTTCATGAATCATGACTTAACTAAGGAAAAATATATACTGATCGGTTCTCCCTAATATCTTCTGTATTTTTCTCATCATGTTTATTTAGTTTTGTTTGTATTATTGAATCAGTTCATTGCATAATTGCATTTTACCAATCGAATTATGTACTCTCACGTGATCTTCACATTTACTATTGAAATATCTCTGACTTGTCAAGGTTGTCAGGACTAGCAAAGATATATGCAATCAATAATATGGTAACTTTTCACGTAGAATTAGACTGGAGGAAACTGGTTGTTTCTCAGTTATTACCATAAAAATCTATGGGGAGGATAATTAATGATGTTACATTAAAGTTGGGGATTAGATGTTCTTGTAAAATGATTAACTGTGTAAAATAATGTGTTATTCAGGTAATTGCTTTTGTAGGAATCACAAATGCTTTATGTGACTCGTGTGAATTGTACTATTATGAACAGTAAAACTCGGTGTTGGGGGCTTCAGTATGGGTGCTGCAACTGCCCTCTACTCTGCCACGTGCCATGTTTTAGGGCAATATGGGAATGGAAATCCATACCCAGTTAACCTAAGTGCAATCGTTGGTCTAAGTGGATGGCTTCCATGTTCAAGGTTCAGCTTCTGTCGTGTGCACTAACATAAATTTGCTTATGCACAACACATAAGCACAAGCTATTAACAGTCAGTTCATCTCAGTAGTTCTTTGCTTTTTTGCTCTATCTGTAGAACTTTGAGGAACCGGATGGAAGCGTCGAATGAGGCTGCAAGGCGTGCAGCATCCTTGCCCACTTTGCTATGTCATGGCTTAGGTAGAAATATTCTTCTCATATATGGTACTTATAGACTCAATTCTTCCTTGGAGGCTCTCTCCACCCACCTCCCATCCCCAAAAATCATATAGAAGAAGTTGCAAGTTACTGATTGTTCAGGTTGTTTTGTTAAAATTGTAATTCCCAAGTTTTTAGGTACAAATGTATGTGATGCCTTCATTCTTCATTGCAGGCGATGATGTGGTCGCATATGGACATGGAGAGAAATCTGCACAGGTCTTAAGTTCAGCAGGATTTCGAAATCTAATGTTTAGAACATACAACGGGTATGTGATTCTGCCTTCATTCAGGACTTACATTTTGTTCTTTTCAATATAAATTTCAAGAATGCATGGTTGTCAATGCAGGCTGGGGCACTATACAATCCCTGAAGAGACTGATGAAGTTTGTACTTGGTTAACTGCAAGTTTGGGGCTAGAGGGATCCCGATCATACTAGCGGAAAAGATCAGTGAATGGCAAGATGACACGGGGAATACAAATGAGGAGATTATTATAAAAGATGATTAGAAGAGGCATACTAGAATAGGTTGTGGTATGGGGTATACGTACGGTAGTGGCATTTCTTATAGCTTCTATTGCCTTATAATCTCCCTTCTCCTTTTTGTTGCTTTCTTTTTCTTCAAATAACGTCCTAGTCTCACTCTTGTAATTGGGCGCTGGTTGCTATGAGATTTGTATGGGCGCTCTCGGTTCGGGTGGGGTATGGGAGCTAGATAGAGTCTCTTTCTCCGCATCCATGAAATTTTGTTGTTTTGATAATAAAGTGATTGAATATATTTCTCCGTGCATCACCCTAGCATTTGAATTGGTTGTTGGTGCATGTAAACTGGAAGATGATGAAAGTTTCAGCCTTCACACTTCTATACAGTTTCAGCATTCAACACAAGTGCTTCATTTTTAAAAGCCAATTAGAGTGGTGGTAAGTTGGGCCTAAAGTTTACATATATGTTATTTTGATTGGTCCATAGGCCTGGATTAACCGATGGATTCTCCAGATCCATAAGACCAGCCTGGATTACCACTCAAATTGACCCTTTCCAGCCCTCAAGTCCACAACCCAAATCTATTTGAATATCATGAACAATTCCCTCTAAATTACAGAAACGGTAACTAAAAGCAAGAGCAAAACACAAACTATATGGTTTACAAGCCACTTCTAGCTAAAACACATTGTCTCATTCTTCCCTTTTCCAACCTGAACACATTCTCCCTAATTTTAGTAGTTTTTAAGAGGAAAAAGGAAAAGAAATGTAATAATGTCGAACCGATCATATCAAAGTATAAGAGATCCTAATAATTAATTGATGAGGACCAAAGTATTTATTGAATAAAGCATAAGTTATACTACAAGATTGTCATTGCTTGCCCATTGATACATATTTAATAATGGCGAGTCAGCTGATCTGATATACAAGATAGTGGCAACACAGTGGAGAGGGAAGCAACGACTATAATCCAATAACCATGAAAATGTTCCCGAACTTAAATTACAAAATAAAAAATAAAAAATAAAAAATAAAAAAACAATTTGCCCAGAATTGGGACAATTTCAGAGTAGCCATAGCCTCTAACTATAGAGGATTTAACCCAATTGAACAATTGAAAGATTTAATATAACAACAGAGAAATGCTAATCATGAGAAAGATGACAATGTTGTGTTTCCAATTTTCTGTTATTACCTTCAGAAATTCAGCCACTTGGTACACCCACCTATATACCAATAAATGACGACTGTGATCATTATACATATAGGGAATAAAATTATATATGATATCTTAAGACGTTTCCATATTCAAACCTGACAACGATTCAACCCACATAATGTTTCAACAAACGTTCTCTGGCCCCAAGTGTGAAAAGTAAACACCACAGTGACACCTTGAAGTAAACTGAAACAAGAAACATGTGAAGATTAGCATTATTGATGACAACTTTAGAACTATGTATTAACAGCATGTGTTAGAATGATGAGGACTCACCGTGGACTCCATAAATGTCGATCATTTCTTTCTACCCTTATCTTGAAGATTACTCATGTTCTGAATGATACTACCGCCTTTGGAACCAATACAAGGGGTAAGGGGTGGGAACGAAGGGACAGCCTTCAATATGAACTTGCGGCCACTTCTCAAGGCCCCTGAAGAGCTTGCACCAAGCTCGTGATTGTGGCTGTGAGGAGGAGAAACCCGCTTCTTATTGGGGGAACTTACTTTCAATGACCTAATCGGAGTAGAAGTGTCCTTCAGTATCTCAGGGGTGTCATCTTGCAGAATGTCATAAAGTCCATTTTCAAAGTCAAGACCTTGGAAAGATTTCGTCCCACCTAACCGAGTCATTGGGGTGACTGGTGAACTACGCCTATGAAGAGAACTATCGGATGACAGACCATGACTTCCAGGGCACAGCTGAACTTGTGAAGCATTTGTCCAGTCACTTGTTTTGGATGATGTTGAAGACGCCATGGCCATTGAGCAAAGATCTGACATTGGAGTAATATGGCATGTAGTGGGGGCTGCATCGCATCTTGGTGAAAAAGTGTCCACTATTCCAATGTTATCATAATCCACACGCCAATTGTAAGAACCTAAATCTGATAATTCTTTACTTGTTTCCAGAAGAATGTCACTGCTCTCTGAATGTCTCAGAGGGGATCTTGTAGAATTTTCATAAGATGATATGATTGTAAGATCAGATTCGGGTGATGGAAGGTAACTTGTAGGAAGGCACGGGGATTTCGGTACATTATTTGCATGGCTAGACAAAAAATAAAATGAACAATAAAGACTTAATCAGGGATCAGATTATGATTTAGCATTTCAGGATAATTGGGACTTTTTTGAAACAAAGGAAAATTGGGACTACAAAGTCAACGAATCTTACTCTGAGCACTGAAATGATGGCGCCAATGGAGTGAGGTTGTGAGAATTGTACAACTCAGCAGACAAAATATCTTTCTTTGTTGCCACCATTTCCAGCTTCTCATCAAATGTGCTCTCTATTCTGTCCTTGCCAGCTTTGTCACTAACATTGTCTTTACCCACACCATGCTCTATTGGAATATACTCTATAGAAAAGGAGATTGATTTACAGTGTTAAGTTACAAATAGAGATTTAATTGATAACCTTTTTCAGGCGATTTTTCTAGTTTACTTTCACAAGCCCATCTTTTTGAGGCATTATAGATAAAAGTAACTTCTAAAATATAAGTACATCATATACTATATTCTATTGTCAGACAATTTTCCGTGTTTTGTTTCTAGATTGTCTATCAAGACGATGATCAAGTGAAATCATGTTTTAACAAATTGACAACACAACATACCAGACTATCTGGCAAGAAGACACTATTCTAAAGTTCTATATAGTATGAATCGAATATTCTTTGTTGTCCCTAGTACAAAGGGTAAAGCTACAAACTTTATCATGTGGAATTAAGAAACACATTTTCTTGGTTTAGAGTCTTACCTCCCTTCCTGCCATAAACATTTTTACATCCATCACACCGGCATCCACTGGAGCATCCAACATTTGCCTTTAAAATGAAGCAACTCAAGAGTTTAGGATGAATTAAAAAAGATAAGATAAGAAACACTGTGGCATAAAAATATAGAAACAAAATTCAAGACCTGATAGCATTCACAATATTTTTTAAGACACATTGACTTTTTGCAATTGCACCCTCTTTTGTGTCTTGCCGAGGATGGCGTGAATTGAATTTCTTCTTCCTGTCATGAGCAAATACAATCATCAAATTTCTAAAGAAAGGTATACAATCAGTAATTATATTGAAAGGGTTTAGTACCACAATATTTTTGGAAACTCACATGCTGTACAATCTTGGGAGCAAATGCAAGTGGATTACGAGATTCAATATGTTGCCTTGTCTCAAGAACTGTATCTTCATAATCGGTTATATTGAAGCATCCTTGGCAAGCACAAGATTCGGCACAATAGACTCCAGCAGCAAAACAATCACAATAACTGCACAGAAATGTATTAAAATGTGACAAATAAATACACACTTATGAATTTCCTAGGACACAAAGGAGATCAACTTACAGTTTCAAGCATTTGGTCTTCTTACAGTTGCAACGTTTGGTACCATCACTATCTTTAGTGCTTGATGTTTTTTTCCTGTAGGGTCATACACGAACACATTTGAACCACAGACAATATGAAGAATGAATCCTACCACACTAAATGAAAGACCATGCCTCTGACCTTTTCTTTTTTGGACTAGATTGCTTGCACTCCTCATAATCGTCAACATTCTCAGCATCAAATCCCCTCTTCTCATGTGTAGGCCCATGATGCTCAAATACCACAGTGTGAGGAGACTGGGGAACGGCAGAACTTGCAGTAATTGAAGTCTCAGATTCATCCCTGTCTTCAGGACCAGCTGAGTCTTTCTCAACCATATTCAACGAAATTGAACGGCTCCTCACATTATCTGGTAAATGTGAGCTCATAACAGATGCTGATTTCATAACTTGCACACCAATGTAGTGATCTGCTAATTTTATGCTTCTTGTTGTACCACGAACCAGTGGTGCAGCATTAACTATGCTGTTTAGATGCAAGCCAATACCTGATGGCTTGGGAACAGTTGAAGGAGAGTTTCCACCATACCGAGGTGGCAATGAGGTGCCCATCTGTCTCTTGGAAGTTGCCTTTAAGTCCGCATAAGATAATTTCACCAACTTCGATTCTCCCGTGCCGGAAGGTAGTTCTGAATTGTTAACCTCCTGTATAGAACTCAAAGAACAGTCTCTTTCTCCAGTGGCACAAGGAGGAGCCTCTTCAAACTGAAGACAACGTCTATGCATGCCACCTTGTTCACTTCTGGCCTACATTGACCTTGCAGTTACTCTACTATGAAAAGTAAATAAATCCTAGCAGGATAAAATAACCAAAAAGAAAAGGCCTGCTACTTTTGCAGGCATGGGCTTGCACTACACTAAAGGAATAATACTTCCAGCAAATAAAGGAAAAGATAAAGGAAGAGGGAGAAATCATGGTAGCTAGAAACATATCTTTGTATCTTTTAACTTGGTTAATTATAGAGAAAAGACATGTGGTCAAAGGAAAATGTGATTCTTGATTCCCAAAAAGGGGTACATTGGAGATTGTTCATTGTGCATTAGAATTCAGATGTAATGGCATACCTTAGGAGCATGCAATATCATGTTCCCAATCATTCCTTTGGAGATTGCACCAACATTCTCAGCAGAATTTTCATACACCTGAACAATCTGCAAACGTCCAGGAGGAGATTGAGGGGTATGATCACAATCATCCTGATGTTTACCTCCTCTATCCTGTAACTTAAAAGTTGGATTGATTGTAAGAACATGTGGAACAATCACATAATTTCTCCACAAATAATAGTGCAGTTCTTTCACTGTTTTTATTTTTATAATGTAAAGCCAAGAATCTGCAATTACCTGATCATGCAAATGTTGGCGATATTCTCTCTTGTAAGCATTATCAATGGATAAACCAGATTCAATATTTGGGCATTCATCATATGGCAAGTCCCCATCACTTTGCTCTATAATTTTCACAGGCTTTGCATCAAATGTTTGCTTTCCTTCAAGGTCCTCTTTAGCCTGCTCTGATGGTGCCTTTGCTTCTGTCCCTAAGTCTGTTCCAGTATTATGTTTTTTGTCATATAAAGTAGTTTCCTTTGAGCCAGTGAATGTTTCCGGCACATTGTTTGATTGTTTCAAACATGGACTGGCTGATTGAGTAGAGTCTACACA